TGAGAGTTTGATTCTCTTAACATCTTTCTATTCTTTGCTTTTTGTCAGTGATACCGGCGAAGAAGCGGTATTAAATACACTTAGGCAAAGTTATCAAAATGCTATTGATAAGGTACCATACTCATATGGCAGTTGGATGGTTGTATTTAACTCGAAGATTATTAATTCCATTTTCTCTTTTTATCAAAGTTTATAACCTTTATTTTTAAGGTTATTGCTTTTGCTTATTCTAGCAGCATGATAAATAAGCAAGATGATAAATAAAACAAAACAAATTTAGATATAACAGAAACAAACTAAAGTAAAAGTAGAACTGAGAATTATTTTACTCTTATCTAGGTAACAAAGATAGTTTGCAGAAACAAACTAAAGTAAAAGTAGAACTGAGAATTATTTTACTCTTATCTAGGTAACAAAGATAGTTTAAAAAAAGATAGATTGTTTAGTTTTTTATTGAGAATTATTTTACTCTTATCTAGGTAACAAAGATAGTTTAAAAAAAGATAGATTGTTTAGTTTTTTACTAACAAAGAATGGGTCAGTCAAGCAATTTTTCGCCATCATCACTTCACCAGCTAGCATATGTTGTGTTCTTATTTTTTATGTCATATGTAGTCTTGTGTTTTCCTTGTAGATTTTTAGTACCAGAGTCTGACAGTCATTTAGGAGAACTCCTATATTCTTTGAAATAGGTGAAAAGGCTTTCCTGGTTTTTGAATATTCCTAGTGATAACTTTAACTACTTCTTTCCAAGCCAATTCCAAAAATGTCATACTCAATTACCTTAAAGCAAGTACTAAATTAACCCATCCTGTAACCATTTAGACGGTGTAGTGTCATCTCTTCCATAAAAGAAAGCCAAAACAGAGATAATACTGCTAGCACTATTCTTAAGATTACACCAGTCTGATTAAAATGTAGAAGAATGCACAACACAATTAGTTTGAGACGGAAAGACAATTTGCACATTTTGATAGTAGAGTATTCTTATAGAATTTCCAAGCTTAGATGTGAGGAAGATAACTTACATTTATGCATGTTGCTAAGAACAATTGAAAATTCTCTTGTTATGCAATAACATGTAAAAGATAACTGCATAATACAAAGGCCTGTTCAAAATCTTGCATAAGTCTCACTTTCCAAAAATTGCCTACAACCAAGGCTTTGGGTTCAGTTTTATTTATCATTCTTCAACTTGAGACCTTTCTAAAGGTCTGAGTTATCTTCACTAACAGCGATTCACATATAGGTCGTGAACTAAATTTTACACTTAAAAAGCTTTACAAGAACAGGGGAATGTTGCATTTATGACCAAGTTGGTAAATAGTGGTTTTATTATAATTTATAACTGACCACAAGTAGGTTATTCATGACCATCCCTACTCAAAGGGTACTACATAGTGATATATGAACATATCAAAAGATTTTCACAATTATATCACTACTCATTTCCAAATCCTTCTTAGTTCAATGTTGGTATTGTTTATTGTTTACGTATACTGATTTGTATGAGTACGTAACTGCACCATCCTTAGTGGCAGAGCAGGTTTAGTCTATAGAGAATGTTTTGAAAAGCTTTGAATCTGATTAGATGTATGCATCAGACATATGTTTAAAGTTCTGTTTTGATATGCATTTACAGTCTGTCTCCTTGAACTTTACCCATCCCAGAAGATATGATATATTGTTCTATAGAGAATGCTTTGAAAGGCTTCAAATATTATTAGATGCATGCATCGGAAAGTTTTGATATGCATTTACAGTCTGTTTCCTTGACTATAAGCCGAAACAAGAAATTTTCTTTTTGAGTTTGAAATGGTATCTGTTTTTAGCATCCTGAAATCCATGCACTTCCCAGGTTTAACGTTGGTGATCCTATTTCATAACTGGCCTTATGACAAAGCTCCATGAGTGTTGATGAGCGTGAAGGATGAAATTTTAGATTGGTTTAATCATAAAGCAGAAGCAAACATCCTGATCCTTAACAGGGCAACTATTTCTTTACCCTTACCATTAATTCTATTTTCTTCATTCACATGTCTACTACTTTTATGGAATTGATAAATTTTCCTTAGGAAAAAGACTGAACAATCTCTGACTTCAGGTACCTAATTAAATAATTAGGATTAAATTACAGATATATGCAAAATAATGATAATGTTTTTGAAGCAGAAGGAGCTGAAAAGAAAAAGGTGATCTAGGAAAAAGCTTGTATGTTTGCACTTCTAATTCAAAAAAGCAAATATACACATTATAGTTCATCAATACATATCATATGCTAAAGACGTCGGTGCCAAATGCTAATGACCATAAATCACACAAGCACAACATAGAAGAGAGCAGCAAGGCAAACAATCCTCGACTGAATTCCACTAAGAAATTCTAAAAAATAGCAATTTCAGACTCTAGGTCAAACTAAGAGAATTCACAACATACGCATCTCTAACATCACAAAGCCACGACTTTCATCAATTATAAGCAAACTAAAAGGCTACTAATTAAAAAAACTCAAGGAGGTTCCAATTAATCATTCAAACCAGAGAAACCTAAAACAACAAAATATTGCAGAGAAAAAGGAATGCCCTTGGAGAATTAATTCCATAAGTTAAACCCTTTGCATTAATTTAATAACCGACCTTCAAATCTCTAACAATCGCAGTTCCTAAAATAATCAAAGAAAAATTAAAAAATAAAAAGAGAATTTTTACCTGATAACCTGATGAAATTGACACAGGATCAATTGGAACACTTGAAGCAAGCCCTAATTCGGAAAACAATTGACCTATTGTCGAATTAGAAAAAAAATTAGATGATGGCGAATTATAAACAAATTCAATGAAATGATTCTTTAAAATTAAACCAAAATGAAGCAAATATTCTAACCAATTCCCAAAAACTTTTGAAGAATGGACGATACGGTGAAGCGTTGATGATGACTGAGGGAAAACGTTGATAATGGCGGAGAAGAACTGAAAAATCATATTTCAAAGCTGGTGGAGGTAACGGAAGATCGTAGGAGACGAAGTAACCGAAGAATTGAAAGAATGAGGACGTAACCGATGAATTGAAAGGGGGAGGAATAGAGGCGTAACCGATGAAAGTATAAATTGGTTTATGAATTCAGGATATGTTTGGTAATTAAATTTGGTGGAAGGCTATTTTGGGGAGGGTAAAGTTTTTCATGAACTCCCTCTTTTAAAGGGTAAATAGATAATGTATGTATGTATATATATACTCTTTCTTATACTATACATGTATATATAAGTATACTCTCTCTTATATATGTATACTCTCTCTTATATATGTATACTCTCTCTTATATATGTATAATATGTGTGTATATATATATACTCTCTCTCTTAGTATATATGTATATATAAGTATACTCTCTCTTATATATGTATAATATGTGTGTGTGTGTGTGTATACTCTCTCTTAGTATATATGTATATATAAGTATACTCTCTCTTATATATGTATAGTCTCTCTTATATAAGTATATATAAGTATACACTCTCTTATATATGTATAATATATGTGTGTATATATATACTCTCTCTCTTAGTATATATGTATATATAAGTATACTCTCTTATATATGTATAATATGTATACTCCCTCTTATAAAGGTATACTCTCTTATATATGTATACTCCCTCTTATATAAGTATACTCTTTCTTATATATGTATAATATGTGTGTGTATACTCTCTCTCTTAGTATATAAGTATAGTATATTACAACGATTACTTCTTCCCCATTAGCTCAACGGGCAATGGCTACTTATGCGATTTTCTCTCTTAAGTTATAGATTATAAATATATATAATATATTTACATATAATATATGTATATATAATATATATAATATATGTATATATAATATATAGTTACATAATAATTTATAAGTATAT